GGCTTTCTACATAAACCTAAAAGCTGGAGCAACCTAAAGACCCATCAACAGAATATGTGAATTGTAGACTATTCCGACAATGAATAAAATACTACACGGCAATGAGAAGAATAAATGGCTATTCCATACAGCCCCGTGATGAACCCACATGCAGAAAGTCAAACAAAAGAAGCCAGACCCAAAGGAGCACCTTCCATTTCTCTGAAGGTCAAAAACAGGCAGAAAGAATCTGTGGTGATGAGGCCCGCACGCTGGTCATCTCCATTCGGGAGGACCGAGGGGAGTGGGCATGACGGGACCTCCCGGCGGGCTGGCAATGTGGCTGACCTAGACCCGGGCGTTGATCACACAGGTACGTACATGTGTAAATGTTAACCAAGCTGGACTTTTTGCACACTTTAGAGTAGGTAACTTTACCTCTATTTTTTTAAGTGCTATAATTTTGTGATAAATCATCATGGATGACAAACCTCCCGTGTCTGAGAGTCATTTACTGCTACAAAGTCCCTTCAATTTAGGTGGTGATGCTGAAGCCCAGAGAGGGTACACCACTCAGCTGGAGTGGCCCAGCACGTCTGTGGAGAGTCCACCCCTAAGGAGGAGATTGCATGTCCTGCTTTTCCCATGCAACTACAGGCTCCTCAGGGGCAGGTCACTGCTGGGTGGTGAAACATGGCAGCAGCGTGGGCATTAAAAGTTCCGACTCCGAGGGCACAATTCTGTAGCTGTGTGGGCTTCACCTCTCTGTACCTCAGTTTCCTCATCTACAAAATGGGGATAATAGGGGCCGGCCCTGTGGCTTAGCGGTTAAGTGCATGCGCTCCGCTGCTGGCGGCCCCGGTTCGGATCCCGGGCGTGCACCGACGCACGGCTTCTCCGGCCATGCTGAGGCCGCGTCCCACATAGGGCAACTAGAAGGATGTGCAGCTATGACATACAACTATCTACTGGGCCTTTGGGGAAAAAAATAAATAAAATAAAAATTTTTTTAAAAATGGGGATAATAATAGCACCCATCTCATAGTGTTCTGAGGATTAGATGCGTGGCTAAGTGTAAAGCACTTACAACAACACGCAGCTCCAAGTGCCATGTAGGTGTTTGCTATGATAACTGCTATTAAGGGAAAACCCAGTCAGACAGACCAGAGTTAAACTCTGCACCTCTACTGGCTGTGTGACCTCTGGCAAGTCAATTAACCTCTCTAAGCCTACATTTCCACATCTATTAAACAGAGATAATAATACCTATGTATTGTTATGAAGGCAAAACAAGGCATGCGAAGCACCTGACTCCTGCCCTAGGTTCCTTGTGTGCTAGGACCGTGTTTCTCACATCCTTTTCCCCAAGGCTCAGCACTGGGAGGCGCTCACTTACTTGAGAGAATGAATCCCCTCCCCACCCACCCTTCAGCCAGCATCCTCCTTCTGGCGCTGTCAGACAGCAGCATCTAGTGGACAGCTCTGGAACTTGCATTCTGGCCAAGTGCCCCTCACCAAGCGGCTGTGCAGTTCTTTAAATAAGTCTTTTAAAATACGCGCTCTGCATTGGACAAGCATTCCTTAGGTGCCTGCTGTCTACAGGACACGGATCCAAGACCTAAAGAAAATGAAGCAAGAGATACAAGATAACTGTAGAGGGGTGCAAGAAAAAAAATCACAATTATAACCTTGTCATTAATACCCTAACATTTTACCTTAAATTAAAGAAAATAGAAACACTAAGCAGGGGGACTTGGCACACTGGACAGCGTCTTCTTGGGAAGTTTTTATGATTGCAAGAGTGATTTTGAAGTGGCCGTTTCGTGTCAATGACCCATTTAAGGCCAAAGCAATGAAATGAAAGCTTAAGTCAGAAAGGAGATTTCTCCAGGAGAGGCTGACTTAGCTTCCCAGGTTCCCCATAAAGAGCGGAGCAGGAGTGTTTGGCCCCAAGCCCATATTCTTCCCCCACACTCTGCTACCCCACCCCCAGACGTAAAAGAGTGATGAGGGTCTAGAGGTGGCATGGATCACAGGCAACCGGGCGAAGCAAAGAAGACTTCATGGAAGAGATGGCACTTCAAATGGGCTTTGGAGAATGAAGGTAGAGAAAGGGGTGGGTGGTTGGGGAAGGAAGGGCATCCCAGTGTGACGGGCCACACGGTGTGCAGAGTGAAGTGACAGGGATACGCTGGATAGAGAGTTGGGGACAAATCATAGGGGGCCCAAATGACAGGCCAAGGAGGCTGCATTTAATAAAATCAGAGGACCCACTAAGTAAGAAGATAACCTGATCCAAAGGGATCAGAGGAAAACCAGACATCCAGAAACTAGTTAGGTGGCTACTGCAATAGGCCAGACTGGACGTCATGGGCGCTGCATCCTGATGGAGAGGATACAAGAGACACTGGCGAAGTGAGAAGCAGGGGGGAGTTCGGAAATAGATAGCAGTGGGTCAAATGGGAGGACCTAGGTGCGAATCTAAGGTGCTGAGGGGAGGTAATGGGGAGAAAGGCAGAGCTGTAACCAGAATGTGGACTTGACGAGGGGGACTGATGTGGACAGTGGGTGGAGACAATGAGCCTGGTCTTCAATAGGGAAAGTATGAGTTGCCAGCAGCTCATGTGGGACATGGGACCAAAGCTCAGGGGAGGGGCTGGGTTGGAGGGAGACGAGGCAGGGACAGTCACTGGGAGTCACTTACCTATGTGGGTGCAAGCTGAAGACTTGGGAGAGGAAGACAAGCGGAATCACATGGGGAGCTGTGGGGGCGAAGGGTAGACACCATCTGGACATCATTGAGTCCCTCTTTTTAAAGCCTTAAAGCTCTTTCTAAAGCTTCCTGAGGACGGAGGAAGAAAAGGAGGCACAGAAGACAGAGGAGGCGCCTTTGAGGGAGAGAACTAGGAGAGCTTGGTGAGCATCCAGCAGTGTCACAGGTCATGGAGAGATCCAGGGGTCAGGGCGGCCGGGAGGCAACCATTGGATTCGTGATGGGGAGTTGCCATGAGTGACCCTGGAAAAAGCAGTTTCGGGGGGCAGAAGTCAAGCCGAAAAGATTTAAGAGGCAAGAGGCAGAGGGTGTGGGGGTGGCTGAAGCTCCCGGGAGGAGGAAGGTGATGTGAGCAGGGCTGGACTAGGATGAAGCAGATGAGGCGTTGGGAACAAAATTAAGGAGGCACTCACTCTCAGGGTGATGCAGGGAGCCCTGACGAGAAGGGGCAGACACCCAGGCCCAGAGCTGTCAGAGACAGAGGCCCACGGAGAGATATCCTCTGAGACTAAAGGAAAAGAGATGACACAGTAAAAGAACTTAGACACCCAGAAAGAAGCTAAGACCCTTCGACCTCCATGTCCCGCCAAACACACGATGGCCAGTAGCAGAGACTCAGAGGACATGAAGGCTGGAGGAGGAGAGGAGTGGAAGGAAGGACGCACACTGGCAATCGACGACCCGACTATCCAATCCGGGAGCAGGGGCTGGGGACACCGAGGGAGACCCGGAGAGGGGAGAGGCGGAGAGGCGAGGAAACCAGGGAGGGAGGCAGGGAGGGGGAGCTTCCTCGGAGCCTCCTGGGGAGAGCGAGCTTCCCTCCCTGCTCAGCAAGTGTTGAGGGGAGGGGAGTCCCAGCATCCTTGGGGGCAGCCTGGGAAAAGAGGTCCACCTCTAGTGTTTCCTCAGGATGCCCCAATTCAGGGAGACTTATGGCCTCAACTCAAGAGGGGTGGCCCCCCACACCAACTACGCACACTGCAGCATATGCTTCCTTCCCCCAGAGAGTCTGGGCAAGTTTCTCCTTTCCAGGACTCAGTTTCTGTAGTGGGCTGAATGGTGGCACCCAAAAAGACATGTCCGTGTCCTAACTCCCCTCCCTCCAGAACCTGGGAATGTCAGCTTATTTGGAACCAGGGTCTTTGTAAATGTAATTAAATTAAGGTTGTCAAGATGAGAGCATGCTGGATGATCTGGGGGGGCCCTAAATCCAAAGACAAGTGTCCTTGTAAAAGACAGACAAGGGGAAGGCCATGTGAAGATGGCAGCAGAGTGGAGGGAGGCAGCCACAACCCCAGGAACGCCTGGAGCCTCCAGAAGCTGGAAGAGGCGGGGAAGGGATTCTCCCCCAGGGCCTTTGGAGAGAGCATGGCCCTGCTGACCCCTTAATTTCAGACTTCTGGCCCCCAGAACTGTGAGAGAATGAATTTCTGTTGTTTTAAGCCACCAACTTTGTTGCAGTTTATAGCAGCCCTAGGAAGCTAATATAGTTCCTTATTCTGTAAAATGATTAGACAGTTTCTAGGGATGCTTCCAACCCTGAGATTCTCCAAATTAAACCATTCAGCAAGGAGGGGAGTTCCAGATCTGGCCAAAAGGTGTGTTTTTTAACTCACCACCCAGCCCTCTTCCAGGTGGAGGTTTAATTCTTTTACTTGGGGGAGGAGGGGGGAAGCCAAATTATCGGCATCACCTCCCACTCCTCAGAGGAGAGTCTGAAAAGAGTATTTCATGACCCACACTCTTTCCTCCTTCAACCGGAGCTCACGCCAGCCGTCCTGCCCAGGCTGCCCGAAAGGGCCAAAGTGGACCTGGACTACATTATTAAAAGCAAGGAGCTTTCTAAAAACAGGATTGTGCCTTTCTGCATCTCTCCTCACAAACATCACCCTCTCTTCACAGCGACGCTCTCCCTGCCCCTCATGTCTGCTTGCTTCCTCTGCCTTCCCCATTCTTGGGGGGCAAGATAAGATGGATACCCCTGAAGCACAGGAATGGAAGGCGCTCTCCTGGCCCTCCCCCTCCTCCCCACAACACAGCTGGAGGGGGGAGGGGAGGTCAGCAGGGTTCATAAAGGCCAGATGTTGAGGAGAAAGAGAGCAGTGCCCAACCCACGCCCACCC